AACACCTCTTTACAATCCCTTTAAATAAAAAAAAACTATAAGGAAGATGATGACTTTATCTGTTTCATGCTGAGTTCTGTCATCACTTTAGATGAACGGGAAGGAGAAAAAGTCAACGCCCCAAATAAATTTTTGGATGACCACAAAGCCGGGTTCAATTTAAATTGAAAATGCTAATGAGCAATTTATCAGACCAAATTTAGTTTTGTTAAAATTAAAGTTTGGTCATCATCTCATCATCAAGGTCAAGGGCAAAAAAAACCCAGACGTAAATCTTCAAATATACAATTTGATTTGATCTGCAGATTATCGAGATAAATTTCAAATTTTAGCTATTCATAGTAAATTTAGGATCGCAACAAGGGTTCTCATGCGATGCGATACCGCTTAAATTGAACCCTGCCACAAACCACTAAGATCGCCTCGATAAACGTAAGATTTGATAAATTTACAACAACTTGATTACAATTAAAAACTGAAGAGGTCAAACCTCTCTCTTTCAAATAATATTCAAAACAGGACCGTAGCCAGACTTGATTATTCAGAGGGACAAGTAATATATATTTGGAGGGGCAAGTAATATATGTGGAGGGGCAAGTAATATATGTGGAGGGGCAAGTAATATATGTGGAGGGGCAAGTAATATATGTGGGCAAGTAATATATCTGGAGGGCAAGTAATAAATCTAGAGGGTCAAGTAATATATCTGGAGGGGCAAGTAATATATCAGGAGGGACAAGTAATATATGTGGCGGGGCAAGTAATATATGTGGAATGGCAAGTAATATATCTGGAGGGGCAAGTAATATATGTTGAGGGGCAAGTAATATATCTGGAGGGCAAGTAATAAATCTAGAGGGGCAAATAATATATCTGGAGGGGCAAGTAATATATCTGGAGGGGCAAGTAATATATGTGGAGGGGCAAGTAATATATGTGGAGGGGCAAGTAACATATGTGGAGGGCAAGTAATATATCTGGAGGGGCAAGTAATATATTATATCTGGAGGGGCAAGTAATATATCTGGAGGGGCAAGTAATATATCTGGAGGGGCAAGTAATATATGTGGAGGGACAAGTAATATATGTGGAGGGCAAGTAATATATATGGAGGGGCAAGAAATTTATATGGAGGGGCAAGGAATATATCTAGAGGGGCAAGTAACACATGTGGGGGGGGGGGGCAAGTAATACACGTGGAGGGGCAAGTAATATATCCTAATTTCAACTCGATGGTCGATCACTTTGATCGTCCACCTCTTCTTGTCAAATTTCGTAAAATTAATGTGACGATAAAGCTGTTCAGGTTTCAAGCATTTACCCAAGCCAAAGGGCAATAATCAACTTGAAATTGTCTAATCAAAAGTTTGACGGACTAACTTGACATAAATAGAACAGTAACAGTAAGAGATACATCCCTCGAATGTGATAAAAATTACAAATTGTGCAATTCAAAACTCAACCGATTAGATAAGATAAGGTTACTGCACTGTAAAAATTCAGAGATACAGAGTAATGGGTTTTGTACGAGGTCCACGCGAGGACCACTTGCTCAGCATGTGTAAAAGGGAAAAGTAGTGCGTTCCACTCCACTCTACATTGGCGGCACTAGCTTCTCGAGACTGGGGGTACAAATAGGGAGTGCAAATGACTCTATTGGGGACAAAGTTGAAAGTAAAGCTCAAGCCTCTCATTGATTGTCTGAAACGGTTCTCTCAAAGAGATTTTTAAAAATAGATTTGATTTTGTGCATTTTGATCCATATTTTATTTTTCTAGAAATAAATTGGGGTGAATTTCAGTACCCTCTCCCCCTCCCCCCACTGACTCCGCCTCTGCTGACGAGCCTAACGGCAGATTAAACAAATAACAACAGTAACGATTATTTAGTGTGTTTGGTTCGAGTTCTATACATTTTACATCGTTTGTAAACTTATAGTCTTCAATAAATATGAGTCAAAAGGCTTCAGGCGGAATTGAATTAATTTGAGATTTAAATATTATTCAAAACATGATCGTTCGTATCTACGTCGTGTGAATGTCGTGACCAAAATGTTTTAAATAACTGCACACTGATAATAACCATACCCGGAGAGGAAAATGTCGTAGCGTAATGGAGTCAAACTTTAGAAGTCCCTACGCCTTAATTAGTCGCTACGCTTTGGTTGGTTGCTGTGATGTATTGAGGCACTACGCCGTAGTTAGTTAGTCGCTAAGATTTTGTTCGTCGCTTCGATTTAGTTAGTTGCTACGATTTAGTGAGGTGCTACGCTTTAGTTAGGTGCTACGCTTTAGTGAGGCGCTACGCTTTAGTTATTTAGGCGCTAGGCTTTAATTTGTCTCGTCGCTTTATTTAGCGATCTAACTATTACATAAATGGTCTGATATTCTGGTGAAATCCAAATCAAGATATTGGTAAAAATTAAAAAACTAAATCTATTAAAATCTATTTTTATACTTATGGAATGTGAAAACGATGTTTAATGGTTCTCATCATCTGCTTGTTTGACAGTTGACTTTTATCTCTTATCAACTTTGACCTCGGATCATTCATCTAATTGATGAAGGACAAAGACTGGACAATATAAATATCAGCTGATTAGATAAGATAAAAATAATGCAGTATCAACATCAATATCATAAAATATATCCTAGTCCGAGTAACCTACCCAAAGTTCACCCGTAATGGCATCTTGACATTATCAAGCTATTATCAACTTGGGAGTGTGTACAGCCTTCAGACGCTTTTTCAAACTCTCCTGCAATGCCCCTCAGTAAAAGGAACAATTTTCCTTTGAACACTGTGAAATTCAAATTGATATAGAGTAAAGGGTGGTCATTTGATATTATCTTGATGCTAGTTTTTTAAGTGTGTCATATTTTAAAGATATGAAGTGTCAAATTAGTCCTGTATAGCCCCCAGATATATAATAATTAATCAGTTTAAATTAGTGATAAGTCCTATCAAAGTCAACAAATATTAAATATTTTATATTCAGACTGCTCAAGACGTCAAGCTTCTTATTGAATAAAACCAAGAGGTGACCGTTGTGTCTTCAGACTAGTTTTTCGTGCCAATACGTGTCAGATGATCTTGGTTTCGTCGTAACTGCGATTCTATGCATTGTAAACAGTTCTGCTGGCATCACGGACTAATGTTATAATCTAATATCAATTAATTCGGAGCAAAATTATTTTTAGAAAAGTTTAGTTTAGAAAAAAATTGGAAAAGAAATACACAGCTTAAAGACAGATTTGAACAGACGTCATTGTACCAAGTTCGAGCCAGGAATTGAAGATTTGGTCCAACTAATTTTAAAAAGTCAGAAACGTTTGGTGGAAAAGGATAGATTGAGAATATTTCTAAGGTATTTTTTGAAAATGTACATACAATGATTCAAAGTTCATTCGATCACAGAAAAAACAAACTTTGTTGTGGTCGCGAGTTCTTTTACTTATTAAGACAAGTGTTATAAGTGTTTAAAAAGTGGCCGAGTTTGTTTTGTGACAGCGAGGACAGATAACGTTTTAAGATCAACGAATTAACACTCTATTTGATTCTTTCGTTACTTAACAAGTATTGTCTACTTGAACAATAGTTTATCATTTAACAATAGATTAACAATTGGACATATATTAGGAAGACAGCGAATAAGTAACAAGGTGATAAACGTGTTATTTCAGTATTTATCAACTGAGACATTGGACCAGTAATAAGAACCTGGGAAACTTTGGAAATCTTTCAGATTCTTGGTTGTGAAACTCAAAGAGTATTGTCGAGTGGATCTACTTTTGGAATTCTAAACTCAGAAGATAAAAGGACACCCCTTTTAGGAATTTTATAATCCTTGATGTCAGAATCGGAAACTCTGTTTCGATAAAATTTCTTATGGAAATACTGCTCGATATATTCCTAGAGCTGTGACTTGAAATCTGCTCAGGAAACAAAACCCATCGTCAGTGAAGTGTAATCTATTCAATTCTTATCATTTGTGCCATTTCCTTGTGTGTTTTTCCCCGCACATGAATGGGAAACCATTTTCTGCCTATTCTCTTTGTTTCTGTGAATCGATGTTGCTAGTTATTCGACGATCAAAATTTTCCCCAAATAGTCAATTTCGATTTATGGGAAATTAATCACTCAGGTTTTCTTCACCGAGGGTCTAGATTATAATATTTTATATTGTACACCCTCTAAATTACATGGATACCTCACAATTTGACAAGATAACTCTGTGCATACTTCCATCGCTATGATAATTATTTGTTTATAGAAAGTTAGATAACAGAGACTGGATGATATACGATACTGTAGACCTTGTTATCAAGTCATTAATATCGCATAAAATATAAACAGTAAATATCTACATTGAGCCGATTTAAAATATATTAAAACATAAAACATTTCATAGTTTGACAATCAAATTATAAATCGAAAACTCCAAATATAGACCATTATATAAAGCAGACGAAGGTCGGTTGTCCTTATTCTGAAGTAGAACGTTGACCGGACCTTGTCCTAAGATCCAGCTACCACCATTGTCTGTCCATGTCAGATTTTGTGTGTTATCTTTTCAACGTGATTATCACTCAGAGAAAGCCACTGAATTCGGATACAGGATATTTGGTGGATGAGAAAGCGAAAAGAATATTTCTTTGACCTCTGTTTAACATTGGATACACGTGCTGCCAAAGACGTTGTGTAATAACTCAACATTCTGGTCGATATAGGACAGTAGGTGTAACGTCAACAGGAAAGTGATGCATGCGAGTGAGGTTCACAATTAGTGGTTTGTGGTTTGTGGTGTATAAAGATATTTGCGAGATCTTTGTGACACACTGTATCACGTGACCCCTTTACGGATATAAACATTGTGTATACCAAACAATTTTTAAAATTCTGATGCAACTGAGCAACATTGAGTTATTTTGATCGCCGCTACGTTTTGAGGATTGTTAGAAATTATCAAGTTTTTATTTCTCATTGCAACGTGATTCAAAATGGAGGCCGTTGTTGCTGCCAAGATAGCTGCTCTCTTTATAGTGTTAGTTATATCAGTCATATTTGGGAATACCCCTTACTGGGTTCTAAAGAGACGACAGACGCCCCAGGGAACCCGTCGGAGAAACTTATTCATTGCCATTTTCAATGCGTTTTCTGGGGGAGTTTTTCTCGGAACGTGTCTTCTTCATCTGATGGTGGAAGGTCGAGAGGAGCTGGAAGTTGCCTTTAGTGCCTATGGCGTTCATATAGAATATCCTCTATTCGAGGTTCTCGTGGCTTTTGGATTCTTTGCCATAACGTTTATTGATTTCGTTGCTGAACTGTGTTTCCATGGCTCAAGCAGCGTTATTCTGGAAGACAAGAAGCCGAAACCCCCAATGGCTGCTGTGGAAAGTGGAATCACCAATGTTAACTACATTAGTACTGATGTGTCAAACACCAGCAATATGGAACGATACGGAGCAATTGTTCAAGACGATAAAAGACAATCGACAGCACGAGATAATAACAACATTGCCACAGGAATCCCATCAACAGGTTCAGATGCTCGGATAACATATTCATCAAATAGAAGTTCAAGTAGCCCGGAAGTTGTTATTGAAGAAAGACGGGGACATGATCACCACCATAATCATGACCATAGTACACACGAGTTTGACGATCTAGCCAAAGCCTCAACCATCAGAGCTGTTCTCTTACTGATTGCTTTGTCCTTCCATACCATTTTCGACGGACTTGCGATCGGATTACAAGAGCAGGACGCAGACGTTTGGCAGGTGCTTGTTGCTATTAGTGTACATAAAGGTTTAGTCGCCTTTTGTTTAGGACACCAGCTTTATCAAGCGTATAAAGAACGTACCAAGTTGGCTTTTATTCTGGTTCAACTGTTCTGTTTAATGTCGCCAATAGGTATAGCTTTAGGCATTATCATCACTTCCGGTAATATAGACGGTGGTGCTCAGACTATGACGTCAGCAGTTTTACAAGGTATTGCTTCAGGAACATTTTTATACGTCACATTCTTTGAAATTCTGAGCACCGCCTTTACCCATGGACAAAGTATTTGGAATATCGTGCTGGCGTCAGTGGGATTCGCTGCCATGGCGGCTGTGAAATTATTAGACTCCGACTAAACTTCTTAAATGATAACTTAGCGCTGAAATTTTCGACATTTCTTACCACTGTATTGAAATATATTTCGTTTTTCTTTGTCTATTTTATCCATTTTGTGTTACTAAAAACTTTAGCTGGTATAAGTTGAATGAAAAACTGTCTTTCACATTGTGATACATTGTGTACATTGTGTACATTGTGTTACAATGTGTATATAATTAATCGGTACATGTACTGTGTACATTATGTACATTGTGATACATTGTGTACTTTGTGTACATTGTGTACATTGTGATACATTGTGTATGTAGTTAATGGCCCGTGATACGTTTATTAGTAATAGTTATCGAATTCTATATATACAAACCCTGTGATAATACAATAATGAGGACTAGTTTTTAAAAATCTGTTGATAGATATTGTGTTTTATTTTACAATATAGAGTAATAAGGAAAGTCAGGTGACTTTTTGTTGTTGTAACGGTGTTAAATTCACCGACATATTAAATTACTATTGTTTTCATGTTCTGAATCGCAAGGAAATCTGCCCGCTGAAAATTGAGAAGGATGCTATAGGTTTGTTAGGTGTTAGGGTTAGGTATGTTTAGAGTCGGATAGCAACTACTATGGAAGTTTGTCAGTTAGGCTATATCTCTTCTTATGAATTACTATGGTGTTCTTTAAAACTATAAGATGCGTCGAATATATAACTCTCTCCTCAGGAAAGGTTTACATTTCAATAATGTTTGTGTTTGTGCTTAAGTCGAGCGAATAATTGTGCACAGAAACACGAGCAGTCCAATTTTGTTAGAGGTAAAGCAAAAACACATTTTGGAGTTTGGGACATTTTATATACATCAGCGTTATATATTGCATAAATGAAATTGTTCAAATGCAAATGACTATTGCAATCTAGCTAAAAACAAAATAAAAATACTACTTTATATTTTGAATTGCCTTTGTATGAGAAATATTTTGTGTAATGTCGATATCTATATATATAAGTCTCTGATTGATTGTATAATAAACACTCTATCACAAGTTGACAAACAATTCGACCGTCACGGCCTTTTTCATTGAAATTAAATTACACCATTGAAACTTGTGTTAAGAGTTTTTATCATATAAACGCTGATGTTAGTTGGTATGTAAACACAATTTAGAACATGGCTGAATAGAATATGAACTGAATAGAAACGACAGTAATGTTGGAGAACCTGATTAATCCAGTGGTTCCCAGCCTATTTCAGCCTCCACTTCCCTGGAGAAATCATTTTGACCTTTCAAACCCCCAAATTTATTTCATTCACAATTTCAGTATGTAATTGTGTGGTGCTCTCTCAACTGAAAATAAATTCTTCTCCTACACCAGTTGGCCACACCCCTGACACCCTAGTCCCACACCCCAGGGGGGGGGGGGAACCAGGGGGATTTAACGAATGCAATGGTATTTGAAATGTTAATTTTTGACACTTGATTTTATTCAAAAGTTTACTACAATGTATCCTATCTATGTATCCTACCTATGTATTATTGTTTGCTATTAGTGTATATATTCTGTATATAGTGTATATATTCTGTATATAGTTTATATATTCTGTATATAGTTTATATATTCTGTATATAGTTTATATATTCTGTATATAGTTTATATATTCTGTATATAGTTTATATATTTTGTATATAGTTTATATATTCTGTATATGGTGTATATTTTCTGTATATAGTTGGCTGGCCACAGCAAGTGAGGATTAATCCCCATCAAAACCTTCTTCAGTTCACCAGAGATTGATTCATTTACAGTGTCTTTGTACAAAATAAAAAAGATATAGAGTTTGATACGTTTTTTGACACTTTGAAATTACCAGAAATGAGTTCACTGGGCCTATAATCCAAAACCTGAGCCCCAGTACCACTCATTCCGGGGCTGTTATGTCTGTACCTCTTTCCAGAATGAAACTACATATTTCGTTCATACGATAATATTTGTATTTATATCCAGGCCTGTTTCTGTTAATTAAACAGGCGACTGATGGTAGACAAGATTCTTACATTTATTTTTTTTCAAAAGACAAATAATATTAAATTCATTTTTATCAAAAATCTGCCCTTAAAGATGGATTCCCTCATGTATGGAAATGACAATGCTAATACATATGAATAGAAAGTAAACTTGGAAAAATACCAGTTTGTCTCACATGTCCATAATTAATTTATAATTAGGTACTGTTCACATAATTACCAAGGGAGGTTCACAACATCGGGTATTTTAGTACTAAATGGTATGAAATTTGAAAGTGGTGTCAGTGTCAGTCTCATTTCTACCACCCCACCCCACAGAAACTAATTTCATCCTTACTGCAGATACTTACCTGCGGTTCATATTCTTGTCATATTCAAGAAGTCTGCCTCCAGTGCAAAAAGATTAATCTTTGTTCAGCTGACTAGAGACAGTTTAAGATGAATGACGGAAGTGGCGTATCATTCTTAATCCCAGTTGTTATCAAGAGTGCATGTTTATAAGACGTTTAGTATAATACTTCCGTTTCGCTATCCGTCTTAAGATACGGAAACGGCAGTCGGATTAGATTAATTCAAGGCCATTGTTTTAATCGTCTGAATGGCTAAAATTATTAGTATGATATATAGACACAGCTTTATAGAATCACAATCACTGGTTAAAGTTTTATGCAATGTTTAAAGAATTATAAATGTCAATGAAAGATTATAATAATGTTATAACTTGTAAAGAAAAGCGAATAGACAATGTTTATAACTTAAAGTGATACTACGTCTTAGAATTAACTTAAATTTTAGGAATTTTAAACTTGGCCAATAAGAGCCAGTAGATATACCTGGTGTCATATAAAACATAACAGGATACTTATATAATCTGATAAATCAAAAAAAACGTAAAAATTATCCATAAATATTCAATTAACTATTGAAAAACGCTTAATATCAAGATTGGTTTTATGATTTTACAGGGATTCTTTTTCCAGAAATTTCGTTGAAAACTTTCCAACATGTCACATGAAAGCCTGGCCAATCCTTAGTTTCTGGACAAAAATTCAATATGATGAACGGACCATGAAAATCTTGAACTAGCCAAACTGAAAGTAGACCACTACAATTTACCAACCTCCGCTTGACTATTTTTAGAATTATCCTTCCGCATGACAATCTCTCATCATCTCACAAAATCTGAAACAAAATGCAATTTCAGGCATCAAATTCCAAGTCTAGACAAAAAATTAGTCAAAATTAGGCATGCAAAAACCTCAAAAGAGAGGGAGAAAGAGGATTTCTAAAAATAACAGGCACGCTCAAAGCTAATAATATACTAGAGTTAACTCCCTTGGACTGTTTACAAATACGAAAAGTGATTGTAAAGAGGTTTTCTAAACCCTTTATGTGTATTGGGTACCAGATCCGTATTTAAATGGATCCGAAAAAATTGCCCCGATGAAAGCATTCTGATTACCGTCCAATTTCATTACTACAACTAAACACCATACACCATTGCCCCTCTAGATATATTAGTTGCCCCTCCGAACAATCAGGTCTGGCAACGGGCCTGTTGAGGACACTGACACTGAGGGTATCGTTTCGTACCAGCCCAATTGTCATTCAGAACTTGTAATGCCACGTAATGAAGGCGTTCTAATTTGTGACTATCACAAAGAGCTCGTGATATTAAAAACCTTTACACTCTCTTTAAGACCTCGTGCCTTATCAAGGTAAACATTCCCCTAATAAACTTTATCACTAATAAGATATGAGGTTATACAAGATATGACCTTCAAAACTAGACTACTAGGGTACTTATTGTATCCGTGTGGGCGCCTTCGAACAAAACTGGATAATTTGGACCCTTGTAGACATACTTTGAAATTTTATTTTAATATAAAAACGTTTCTATACGATAGTTTTCAGGGAACAACATACTTTCCAAGTCTCATTCAAGCTATACAAGAGAACCCAGCCCTTTCAATCTAGCGGCATAAACATTAAAAATTTTAAGTTAAGGGTTAGAAACCAGGGGTTGTTCGGGGATCAAAACGTTTTCAAGTAATCATCTACCACGTTCCAATTTCAGGTGCTTTTTCGAGATTTTTTCAAAATCCTAACATACAAGTAACGACTCTAGTTCCAATTAATCAACAATATTTCAGTTGCTTTTCGGGAGTTTTCAAATGTTTTCAGAGACCCAGGGCCCCTTTTCTTACTATAGTAAGATAAGTTTCGCCTGGTGACCAACGACTGTCCTATAGACTAGTAGATAATAGTAACTATGTTTCAACTAGTATAGTAAATACATATTTTAACAAGTGGTTAGAACACAACTGACTTAACAACTACTTTTACTAGTCTATCAACACTTGATAGGTATAGAGACCTTTAGACAGTTATTTAAGAGATTGTAAAGAGGTTTTCTAAAATGTTTATGTGTATCGGTGACACTGATAGCATCAATTTAGTACTTGTTGACGTAAGTAATCGCAAGGGGTCTCATGTGATACTGATAGCATATTTCGCGGTTAGTGACGTCATAAAACGCCTAGTTTTAGTGGAATTGCAAGGAGCACAGACGTCTGATTGAAATTTGAAATGGTACAAATTGATTCTATCAGTGTCTCCGATACACTTAAAAGAATTAGAAAACCTCTTTACAATCTATTTAACAGAAAGAGAAATGAGAAAAAAATTCCCGGGGGAGAAAATTTTCATGTACTTGTAGAAATCGAAATCCCCGCGTTAAATCTTTATCATAATCGACATATACTTTTCAACTGGAAATCCATACTTATCTCAAGGAGAAAACCGACATTTACTTCCTAATTTGCAAAACATAAAACTGTTTCCACAAGTAGTTTGATTAAAATATAGTTTCGTTTCGTGGTTTTAATGTTGGTGTTACATGCGACATCCATAATCTGGTGAAATTCTGTACATCAGGGTGGTTTTTAACTTGAAAAGTACTATGGCCTGAGGACGACTGGGGAAACACGTCGAAACGT